CTGTCGATATGCTGAAGAAAAATAAAAACTTCAAGGCTGTAGATATAATCAACAGTCACATAGCAAGACATCCTGCTTTCTCTACAGCATCACTAGGTATTACATAAGGCTGTTTTTATTCCCTGTTTTAAAATGGTGTTCTTTTATGAACCACAGAAGATCCATTTTTCATTGCGAGTGGGGATGAGTTTCATTTCTGTATCTCTCCTGTATCAGGTTTAAACTTCTTGTTCTTGTATTGAAGGACATTCGTAAAAAAACTCCTACAGTGTTTCTAATATCACGTTGTGTCATTCCCCTTCAGTGATGCTGTACTAGTCTCTTGTCATCTTCAAAAAAAAGTATTTGTACCACCATTTGGTTCCGTGTTCAAACGGAGTTATTTCTGCAGTCTGCATCTTTCCACGTTTCTTCCTTCTCTGGTGTTGCTTACTGTGTCTCATCACTTCTTGTCAAAAATAGACCATACTTCTGCAAAGTTTACACACATGTGTAACTTAGTGTCAATGTGACCACCCATATTGTTGGAAGAGGTATGTGCTTAAGTAGTTGCAAGAGCAGGTCCTTAGATTTGTAAGAATCTTTGCATCATGTCTTTCCATTTATTATTAGGCAGCCAGTATTCTTTTGGATGGTGTAATAATAACAATCCTATTTTATGTGGACCAGAAATTGCAGTGGAATGACAGACAGTGTGCTAGTTAGTATGTAATGGTTTTGTAAAGCCTAGGGCCTTTAGGAGATTTCTTTTGTGTACATTCAACTATGTTCATGTTGCCACTGCTAGTAAGTTCTGTGGCTGCTTTCTCCCCCCCCAGTAATGTTTAAAATGTACAGATGCCAGTACTATTGGGAACTGGCAGATAAAATTTCAGCTACTCTTCTGGGTGAAGAAAATTCATATCATTACTGTAGAAGCTTAGTAAAAATAGAAGCATGACCCCTCTCCCCCCCAAAACTTATGATCTACATTTGAAACCTTTCCATAATATTTTAACTATGAAGGAATCTGGAAATAATCAGATATTTTTTTTCCATTCAGTTAAGGAAACTGTTTTGACCTGCCACCTTGACCTACCCGGTAGAAATGAGGCACTTTGTTGCTGGTATATCTTAATCCATATAATAACTACTTTTATTCATCTTTTTGTGTCTTGTTCTTCTCCCATAACATATTACAACTGGAACATCAGAAGAAATAAATAATAATAAAAAAGAAAATTATTATAACCTTGCTAATATGTCATTTGGCCAATTTTTTTTTTAAATGGTGGCTACTTCGTGCTCCTCAGTTGAGATCTATTAGGGGTTCTGAAGTGAAGGTCTGTGTTACAAAGGCCACATTATTTTTGTATCTTAAAGTACAACCTACCACTAATTATGTCATCTATAATATGTTGCTTACCAGTTAGAGCTCATCACTCCATTCCTTTTCAACAGGAATAGAAGATATTTAGAAATAGGAACTTGTAGGATGCAGTATTTGGGGCCCATTGAACTAGCCTGCTTTAGTGTTTTAAGCATTAAAAGGATCAAGATGCCCTCAGTTGATTCTTCCCAAATACCTTGGAATAACGTGCTGCTTTGCTTGCTTTTTAGGATAGAATGCATTGACCTATTTGTTTTCATGATCATGCAAAAATGATGGTTGTCACAAAACCATCTATTTACCCCTGAGGTCCCAAATTTTCCCCATGGAACTGCCACTTGCCCCAAGGAACAGATTGAGGTTGCCCCAAGATAGCTTCCTATCCTAGTACCTCAATTCCTTTGCCCTTATGCTGGATTCTGCAGTTGCGGTGAGGGACCTGTGATGGACCCAAGTGAGTTATGGGTTTTGGGTTATGGAAGCAATATGGGTCCCCCTCTCTGTGGACAGAGTGATCCTGGAATATAATTCCCCTAGAAATAACTCTTTCCACTGTCAATCAGGAGACAAACAACAAAAGGATTTATTACATGGGTTGGAAGAATTATGCAAACAAACTGGACTATGGGTTTGAAGACAGAAAAGTGTAACAAGTACAGGTTCTTACCCTTCATCTAGCTGACATCCATAGTTTCTCTGTCCTCTTTTGCCTTTGGTCTGCAATGGGCCATAGGCCTGTGGCTTTGTAATGAAAAGATCAACTTGGAATCTCTACTGTGGTCCCAATCCAGCCGATGATCATCTTATCAGCCAACTGGCTCCAGTGCTGGTTCAAGCCCAGCTGTGGTCCCAGTCCAGCCAACAATTATCTGATTGGTGGGCAGCACATACCTACTGAAGCCAGTTGGGGACGCGGTGCAATCCTAACCCTGCCATATGTTCAATTTGAAGCATGATGGAAACCAGCCACAAAAATTTTGTAATTTTTTGTGGATGGTTTCTCTTTTATGGTGCCACTTTTCCTGAATGTGTGGTCGAGTGACTATTTAAGATGTGATTAACAGACTAATCACACCTTTTAAGTGTAACATCTGTCAGGGGCCTTTGTGTATGTAGGATTAGAGAAATAGTTGCTGCTCTACTCCTGGAATATCCTTCAGGAATACCTGAAAGATGACTACCTTCCTTGAGTTATCTCCAGTAATCTGACTTCTCTCTTAGCATCCTAAGGGACAAAATAAATCATTTTATTTTCATCTCACTTCGATGAAGTTTAATGTCTTGAAAGCAGCAGGCAAACTTAAATCGGGGTTGGACTTTTGTGTTTAAGAGCATTTAGCTAAAATGGAAAGCACACTGTCTTCCAACATTATTTTAATATAATATTTTGTGAACTGGCGGATAACATATTTTTGTGTCTCTTAAAAAACCCCACATGTGCTTTTACCCAGGTTAGCACTCCCATAGCTATTAATAGGATATATTATATAATAATATCCATACATTCTTCTTCTCTAAGGAAACCAAACCAAAATGTAACTAAAGAGAAACCAAAAACAGATTACCAACTTTGGTGATATTTTGCAGGGCAGAGTGAAAGCAAAACCTCGGCTAATAAAACAGATTGTCTTCAGGTTGCTTTTGAACAATTTCTGAAGTTCTGCAGTCCTGAAAACCAAGAACAGCATAAAAATTTATTGCAGGAAAAAGCTGTTCAGAGCTTTCTGAAGAAACTGTCAACTGTAAAAGGTAAAATAAACAGTTTATCTCCCCCTCTCACAATTTCATATCTATGAGTCTTTTGTATCGGTGGGTAAAATGTAGGATTTTGCCCCCTGGTTTCTGTAACATGGGACAAAAATGTTTTGTACTTGTTATGTCTTGCCTTTTTAATGTTTCAAGAAAAATGCACAAGATTCAATGCCACAAACAGCATAGATTATATTATCATTATATTCTTTTGTTGCAGTTTTGCCTATAAAAGAGCAAGGCTATTACTGCTTTATGCTTCTGTGCTGGGTTTGGTTTGTTTTTAATGCTGGCAAAATGCTTCTGCCTACAAATAGAATTGCTATACAGTATTTTCAGATGTAATGACTAAAAACTTATTGACTCTCTTGTCTGTATCACAAGTATATTAATGTAACTATGACTCCATATATTTGTGTTTTTTCCGACACTTTGTTACTAGTATAAATGCTATTCATCAAAGTTTTATTTGGCAGTTTTTTGAATCATACTGAATACAGTGCGTTTGATTTTTTTTTTTTTTTTTTTTCCCCCCTCCACCCCCTACTATATTAAATATTTAACTTAAATAGGCCTTTTAGCTTTCCAAGACTTTATTTTTATTCTGCCAATTCTAGCATATAGACTTTAGAGAGATGTAGGCCTTGAATGCAAGACTTCTTATCCTTGTGATAAGCAACTTTTTCACAAGCAGGGGTTTCCTGTACTTAACGCTGTTTTGCTAGTGTTATTTCACTATAATGCTCGTTTTACATTGATACCTGATTCCACTTAGTGCTCAGTGAGTTTTCTTATAATGGTCATGGTGGCCATCTTGGTTTGTCAAAAACTTTCAATTTTAATTAATGCTATTTCTGCTTAACGCTCAGTTTTTTGGGAACCAATTAAGAGCTGTAAGCAGGAGTTGCCTGTATGCCTAAGGTGCATATCATGTGTGTTGTTCTTTACGGGCAACTTCAACGAGAAAGTAATGTATGACTTTGCATTTTATTTCAATGCTGGGTATATTGACTTAAGCATTAAAATAGCATCTGGAAGGTAGAAATAACTGCCTCACAGTACTGCACTGCAACACTGGTTCTATAATATTAAGTAACCTCCTCCAATTTGAACATTGAACAGCAATCATTTTCTGTTTCTAGTCATTTCTGTTATCAGGAAAGCTTCTCAAATCAGAGAGAGAGAAAAAACAAATCCAACAAAATTATGTATTTTTTTTAAAATATAGTTTTATTGTATTTTTCTGGTCTTCCGCTTTTCCCTTTTTTTTGCTTCTTCCCCTTTACCTCCCTTTCTCCCCACCCCTTTCTACAGATGATGTAGTAGTGTGCTGGAAGTGTGCAAGGGAGGGACGTTCAGACCAAAAGAGAAACGTGGGGACATGAATAGCACAACATTTCTGCTAATGTCTAACTGTAAACTCCTAAACTATGTTGAAATATATTAATATGAACATGAAATCCTGTAAGGAAGTTTTGATTAAGAGGGCTGTGATCAGAAAAGTTTAAGTATTGTTTTCTCTGTTGTTTGTCACCTTTAGCATTTACTCTCTTCTGTCACTCAGGCCTTCAGGGTACTGGTCCTTTCATTTTTATAGATACTGGATTATTATTTTTTTAATAGGGAATCTAGTCAATATCAATCTGGGATTATGTTCTCTTTCAAATTCCAGAAATGGCCTGGAGTAATAAAGTTTGTGGATAGATTCAAGTCCATGCAGTCTCTTTTCAGAGAAAAGCTTAATATTGTCTTACACCCCCCACCCTCCAGTGTATTGCAGGATATTAAGAGTTGTATTTTCCATACTTCCATGACAAAAATAAGTGTATATTTCTTTTATCTTTGGTTAGAATTGCAGAGCCAACACAGCTGAAAAAAGGCTGAGATGTATTTTGTACCCATCTATTTCATAAAGAAGTTCGGCTTTCAGAGACAGTTGCAGTGATGAGAAAAACAATGGGTTGCTTGGATGAAATAGAGTAAATACTCTGCAGGCCAAATTCTATTTCTAGTGCTGGTGCTTAAGGTATAAAGCACACATCTAGGTGTTTTTGTTTTTTGCACCCCCCACCTCACATCTGCTATTGAGCTTTCTGAGCTGGCAGGCAGTTAAAGTTCTATCTTTACTTGTATAAACTCAGCAAATTTGATTTTGCGGTTTGAGAGATGACAAGCCTGGAATCATGTGCTACTATTTTGCTTGGAATTGCTGTTCAGAGGAAAACTATTAAAATAAAAATCCCCAATTTGGGCTCTGGATGAGTAACTAGTACAGCTTGTTGACCAGATATGTGGAAAGAGTGATGGTTCCTACCCAGCTGAGAGCAGTGGGAAGTCAAGGCTATGCATGCTGCAATGACTATTCCTGACTTGCCTACGGCGTGCACCTAATCACTGCTACCCATGGGGTTTGTGTAGTGTGACCTGCACTTCTAAGGGGTGCACACACTGGCAGGTTGCACCCCCATGCTATCGTTTCAATGAGCCTGTACTAAAAAAAGTTGAATTGCTTTAGTACAGTCACACTTTCTTGTGGGAGAAGCTGGGAATCCAGTAGGAGAGATAATGTCATAAGCACAGGGAGGTGATAATGCAGTTCCAGAGGAATGTAGCAGTTGAAGCTGAGCAGTGAAAATAAGAAAATGTGGCTCTTTTATGCTTGTGAATTTAGTAATTTTGATATGGATCTCAGATTCTGCACTTGTGAGACCTGAGGTCCTTTAAGCAGCCTAGGGCAGATAGCAGCACCACAGGGTTGTCAGCAGTGCTTTACGAGTGTGCTTCAACTCCTTTTTTTAGAGAATTTATGTTCACTGTCTACATGAAGTATTCTCTGTTCCTCATCTCCCTTCTCCCAAAAGTGGGGGAACAAGGAAGTAAGTGAACAGGTATGTTAAGCCCTCTTGTTTTTTGTGAGAAGGTTTTGAATCTGATTGTAAATTAAGGACACTCCGGGGTTTTTGTTTTGTTGGGGTTGTTTTTTTGTTGTTTTTTTTTTTACCTTTTACCAGCCTCCCTTACCTGCTTGCCTAAAGACCATGAATGGGTGAATACATCCCTTGGTATAGTTTACCCTGATTTGATTATGTATACCAATGTAATTACATCAAGATCAGGAACAGACAGAGGATCAGGTGTCCCAGCACAGGTGGCTATTTATCACTGGCCTCATCACTACATAATAGCCTGTTTGCCATCATGGAATAAATACAGATTGATGACACAAGCCAATGTAACTTACACCAGTATAGGTTTACTTTGATTCTTTTCAGGGAATCTGGTGTAATCCAGGAGGGAATTCTCCATCGGGTTGGGTGGAATGACTCTAGTATAGAGTTTTGCATCATCTTAGTGCTACTTTTTTACAATGGATTAATGCTGATTACAGCATTACGAATGTGTCATCTGTCCAGGTCCTAAGGTAGCATTGATTTCTTTTACTGATTTTTGTTTATATGCATGCTTTCTATGCTATTGGATGCAGAACAGTAATGCTAACTTGAAGTTATATATACTTTGAATGGTTAATAATTCTGGAATTGGTTTACACTGGTCAATGTTATATTGATACATTGATTTTTATTTTTGTTTTCCTTTGCTTCTTTGTAGAAATTCCTGAAGACATGGTTTGTGACATCCACCATGCTTGTGCTACCAACTTCATAAAGCTCTTGTTAGAAAAGCAAATGTGGCATGAAGTTTTGCTATTGCTAACAGGGAAAGCCAGTGGGAAAATGTCCCCAGGAGGTGGACTCATCAAAAATTGTGATCTTTCCGACATCGACATTGGCAGCATTATCAAACAGCTTGACAGAGCGGATAAGCGACGAGTACATCTCATAAGATGCCTGATAGAAAGAGGAGGTGAAAACTTACAGATATTAAAATGTCTTGGATGTAAAACTTTGGTTTGTTGACTGTACAAATACTACTTTGGATTTAGAAATACTACGTTGATTCCCATGCCCTTGTATGAATGCAATAGCTGTATATAAAAGGCTTGATTCTAGAGCATAATGTTTGTGTCAAAATGGATAGAGCTTGCTTGTAGGGTAAGCTAATATTCAGTGTGAGCAGGGGAGCAGAATCTCCACTGAAATGGCTTTGTGGAGGAAATAGCAACATGCTGTTTTCACTTGGATAAGGAGAGCTGTGAAAAGCTTATGTATGTTGTTCTAAATGTAAATGGGCACAATTAGCCTCATTTAGAATACCCATGGATTATTTCATGAAGGTTTTCCATTGCTTTATATAGGGTGATAGGTGATTACCAGTAAACATGAAAACAAGGTCTCTTCTCCAAGAAGCTGTCAGGATTAGTAGATAAAATAGGGTGGAACAGTGGCTTGTGGGTCCCCCTGTGGAGTGGAGGAACCATTGCCATTTGTGATTCCAAAGTGGGGAATAACTGGGGAATGACTGGTAAGGCTGTAGTAGTGCAGACAAGGACTTGGGCGTTATGGTGGACCATGAGCTGAATATCAGCCAACAGTGTGCTCTTATTGCAAAAGAAAAAGATAAGCCACCAGCGTACTGGGTTATATTAACAAGAGCGTCTCTTCCAAATCAAGAAAAGTGATTCTTCCACTCTATCCAGCACTGGTGAGGCCTCACCTAGAGTACTGTGTCCACTTTTGGGCCCCATGCTTCAAGAAAAATATGCATAGATTGCAGAGAGTCCAGCAGTGGGCATCAAAATAATTAGAGGTCTGGGAAGCAAGACTTGAGGAGAGGCTGAACGAGCTAGGATTCTTTAGTCTGGAGAAGAGAAGACTGAAAGAGAATTTTTAATAACAGTCTTTGAATACCTGGAGGGCAATTGAAGAGAGGATGGAGATGGTCTTTGCTGTGTAGTCTCAGCTACAAGTAAATGGAAATATGCTGGTTTAACTGTAGTTTTGTGCAAGTCAGAAGCACAGAAGAAGTTCCAGTCTTTTTATTATTTTTACATGCTCTACTCCTGCACTTTTTTTGATGGGGGAAGGTTGAAAGAATTGTTGGGCTTCAGATTATCTAAGGAAAAATCTTGTTTTTATTTCCCCCCCTTGATACAGTTTCAAAGAGAGGTTGATATGCGGTTACTAGCATTACCTTAATAATATTTGGAGATGGATGCATATAATGAAACTAAACCTATGCTTTTAACTATTAACCACTCAATATCTGAAGCTGATGTCCTTTCTTTTTTGCAGCCTTTATAATTATGGTGACCATACTACTTTTAAGGAAGTCAGTGGCACTGCTGCGGGCAGCAGCACTCTACAATGGTGCCCACCCACCTGCTTGCCTGGTGCACCATGCCACTCCACCTCCTTGCCAAACAATGCCTCATGCCCCTGTGATTTCAGGATTTCTGTTTTAATTTTTACTAACTGGCTGGGACTGGCTTACGAAACCCAGGACTGTCTTGGCCAGACTGGGACATATGCACACCCTGTTTATAGTATACAGACCTATGTGTCTGATTTAACGTAAATATTCTTTTCTATTTCACCAGCTTCACCTGAGGGGCTTGGAACCATCCAGGAAAAACCACTGACAACGTGCTTGAAAAATGCTGATTTTGAATTGGCTTATTTGCTTCTGAGCAGTGGCGCAGATTCTCAGAGTGTTTCCATTGCAGAAGGTGATACTCCTTTACATGCTGCAGTCTCCATCTGTTTAGACAAAAAAGGTAAGACTTCTAATGTCCATGAGACCGTTGACTTCGGGAAGAAGCTGTAGTCCTACCTGTATATCTGAAAAATAAGCCACTAAATAGGAACCAATAAAATTTTAGGAATAGGAGGAGGAAAAGAAATGTTAAAAACTGGAGCATGGCTTCTGACTTTGGGGAAAATGTTAGGGCTAACGTTGAAGTATTTTTACTGGGTTTCTTTCTCCCTCCAAACCTTTACCTTGTAAGAACATAAATGCCATACTGAGTCAGTGCATTCAGCCTTGTATCCTCTCCCCACTAGCTGACAGGTGTGGATGCTTTATTGGGAGAGCATTGGAGTGGATAGATCTAGAGTGATCGATCCCCTATTAATTACTTCCCCTGAGATCCACTGTTACTGTTTTAGAGATGCCGAAAGAAACTAGGGCTGTCAAACTTAAAAAATTTGATTGTGATTGGCTGCGCAATTAAAAAAAATTAGTCACAATTACTTACGATTTTAATCGCACAGCGAAAAATTCAAAATTATGCACAGAAAAACTCAAAATTATGCAGGTATTGCGTATGGCTGGGGGGTGAATTTTTATGGTGTTGTGAGCTGTGTGTGCGTGTGGAGGTGGAGTGGGGAGGGTTTGGAGCCAAGGGAGGGGAGTTGCCCGCAGGGGAGTCTGGACCCCGGGAAGGGGGATCCCCCACATGCCCTGGTAGGATGCCCAGTCTAAGTGGGGTCTCCATGAAGCTGCCCCAGGCCTGGGGCATGCCCCTGCCTGAGCATGGCCCCAGCGGTGGTGGGCTCACTCTGCCTTCTGTCCCAGGAGTGGCGGCTGTGAGCAGCCTGGGCTAGGGACAGCTGCTGCAGCTGGGGCTCACACTTCCCCGCTTATTTGCTCAGTGGGTCCTGGGAGGTCCCACCCTGTCCCAGGGCCAACATGCCAGGCAGCCCTGCCGCAGCCCAGTGCCGCCTTCCCCAAACCTCCTGCACTGCCAACCCAGCTGCTTGGGGCCCTAGATGGGGGTTGTGGGTTCATGGGTATGCCCCCTCTTCCTGCTGCAGCTGCTTGGAGTCCACAACCTGCTGAGACCCGCCTAGAGCTACTATTGTGAGGCTGCCTGGTACCCTTGGGCCCCATGGTTTGGGCTCAGGGCAGGTCAGGACCACCTGAGAGCTCCAGCATGAGTGCCTCTGGGCCTGTGGGTCTCTGTGCATCGCTAGTCCAGGCCTCTGGGGAGCGGTGGCAATGGTGGCCCTGAGCCCTCGTGGAGGCAGCTGCTTCTGGTGGGTGGGGGAAGGATTCCTGTGGAGCCATCTCCCGTGCCTCCAGCCCCAGCCTAGTGCTACTGGAGCTCAAGCCACTCCCAGCGCCACCACTGCCACAATGCCGGCCATAGCTGCTGATCTATGTGTGCCTCCCGGGCTCCTGCCAGGACCTGCATGAAGCCATTGGACTTTCCGGGTCTCAGCAGGAGCCCAGGTGGCATGGAGGAGAGTGCCAGCTCTGCCCAGCTTAGCAATGGTGGTGGTACTGGGAGTGGCTTGGGCTCTGGCAGCAATGGGCTGGGGCTGGGTGTGTGGTGCAGCATAGGGTGGGGGCTGTGGGAGGTGGCTTCACAGGAATCCCGCCCCTGCCCACCGGCAGCAGCTACCTCCACTGGGGGCAGGGCACGGGGCTGTGTGGGGCCCTGACTGGGGGATGCGCAGGGGCCTGTGGACCTGGAGGTGGTTCTTGCTGGAGCTCCCAGGCAGTTCCAACCCATCTCGAGCTCAAGAGTGCCAGACTAGCCCAGCCACAGCTCGGTGCCACTGTCTCTGAACCCCCAGTGTTGCTTAGGGCCTTGGGTGAGTTTTGTGGGCATACCTCCCTTTTACCCCCTTTCTGCTGCAGCTTACCGGAGCTCATCTTTGCTGCCACCACTGCCCAACTGGGCGGCCTGGAGGCATTGGTGACAGCAGCAGGGCAGGGCAGCCCAGGTGTAGGCTCAAAACCATGTGTGAGATTAACACGTGAAAAAAATAAATGAATTAAAAAAATTAATGTGTTAATTGGTTCTTGCCTTAATTGCGCACATTAACTGCGATTTAATTGACAGTCCTAAAAGAAACCTCTTCAATAGTTCTGTTTGACAGCTATTAATAGATCTGTTCATGAATTAGTGTAGTCCTTTTATGAACCTGGCTATGCTACCTGCCTCTGCCACCTCCTGTGGTAATGAATTCCACAAGTTAACTATGTGTTGGATAAAAAAGCAAGGTCCCTTCTAGCCCTACTTTTCTTAGGATCCTAAGTATAGTGTTAGTAACTTCAACAGGAGCTTTGCCTGAGCGAGGGCAAAAGAAAAACAGGGTTTTGCTTCAGCTGGCCTTAGTATGAGGTAAAGAACAGTGGTAAACTTATATTTATTAAAGACTTTTCAGTTGTTTGTTTGTTTTTTTTTAAATCAGGTGGAAATTTTTAATTTAATTTAATCAGTTTAAATGTAATGCTGAGCCAGTTGTTTACAATTTACAGAAATAAATATGTGTATGCTCAGCTGACTATCTGTTACACCTGCTCAGAAAGACAAGTAAGTAACTTTTTCTGGTGAAGATAAGGATGGCTGAGGAGGTATCATCTTTGTGAATATGAATGAAATTGCTCCAGTGTAATAGTGACCAAAATCTACCAACATTAAACCTTTGGCTGGTGATGTGATTTTGGTCAGTATGTAGTTGAAAGGCATCTGCAAAAAATCACACTAGTGTTTTTATTGGCTATTGTGTAAGGAAAATGTTAATTGAGGAAGCACAAAGACTCGTGCCTTATTTTCCCCAAAAGCTGGGAGAAGGAAACAGCTGGGTTGTAGTTGTGGTGGTTGAATGTAACAAGCAGCATACTGCCTCTGTTCTGTCTTGTCTTTTTTCTGTTTAAAGACTAAACATCACTTGCTTGGCCTATCAAGCACTGCACTGAATGCATTTTTAAAGTTACTTATGTTCGGTTAATAGTAGCACAGAGATTGGAAATATAACTGTTTCTGACTCTTGGGAGAGAGTGAATTAAAGTTGGTGATTTTGGTGTCTATTTCTTTCAGATGAGATTGGTTTATGCTTCCTCAACTATCTACTAGACTGCTACGGTTCAGATCCATCCACTTTTCCACACCTTAATCCAAACATCCAAGACAAAGATGGAAATACAGTGATGCATATTATTTTTCAAAAAGTTTTGACAAAGCAAGTTAAGAAAATAATAGCTTTGTTAGCAAAGTTTGATATCAATTTGAACTTAAAAAATAAATTAGGAAAAAATGCAAGGCACAGAATAAAAAAAACTAACCCCATGCTATGTGCCTGGAATACAGCTGTATTGGAGAAGAAAAGGTATCGACAAGACACAGGAGGGCAACCAGCTAAAATGCCTAAACCCAATCCTGTCTATAATACATCACAGTCAAAAAACACAGCACATTCTTTATCTGCATCTTCAAGAGCATTGTCACCTAGCATCAACTCATGCGATGGTTTAGAAAAAACAACTTCAAGTACTAATAGTTGTGAAGAGATAGGTGGTACTCAGCTAAAGCAAGAAACTGGAGTAACTAAGCTCTTAACTCTAAGAGATCATCTAGGGCAGGCAATCTCAGATTTAATACAGAAACTTGAATTGGGTGACACTGCAGCCCAGGAAAATTCTCAAATAAAGCCATCTTCCATACTAACTGCTGAAGGGAAAAACACTGAGCCCCCACAAATCTGTGGAAGTGAGAGACTATCTCAGTACGAAGGAGAAAGTGTTCACTTGGACGAAGAAGGTACAGAGAAGGAGCACGATAAATCTGCTTTACAACTGCTTCCTGGAGAAGAACCAGAAGTAACAGAAGATAATGGGCAGATCCAGGACATTGAGATGTACATTCAGGACTTTGATAATATGACCTGGGAAATAGAGTGTACTTCTGAAATGCTGAAGATGCTAGGCAGCAAAGCTGTACCTCCTTATTTGAAAAAGAAAATTATAATGGTAATTCAGCAGCTTGGAAATGGAGAATGGACGCAGAGCCTTCAGAAGCCGCTAAAACATTTGAAAACCGATATTCGGCTTTATGAAGCAAAGTTGAACAAGGGGGCAAGGATCCTATGGGAACTTGCAATAGACTTTTCTCCCCGTTGCAGTGAGGTTCCAGAAAAGATTATAGAAATGGAACAGTCAAAACATCCTCTAGAGGAATCTGGGAGAATTTACACTGAAATCATAAGGATATGGGACATTGTTCTTGATCATTGCAAACTTGACCATGCTATAAAAACAATATGTATTGCATACAATCGTGGCTTGTCTTGCATCTTGAGGAAGAAGCTCAAGGGGATAAGTAAATCCCAGCAGTCCTCTAACATGAAAGCACAAAAGCGGTTTCCTCGTTGTTATGTTGAAGACACCGAGGCAGAAAAATCAAAAGACCCTGTCATACCTGAATATTTCCCTCCAGCCAGCGCAGTGGAAACAGAATACAATATAATGAAATTTCACAGCTTCAGTACTAACATGGCCCTTAACATCTTAAATGATATGAATTCTGCTGTTGAATATCCTTTCAGAGTCGGTGAGTTGGAGTATGCAGTGATTGACCTCAATCCCAAACCTATGGAACCAATAATCTTAATTGGACGGAGCGGAACAGGAAAGACTACTTGTTGCTTATACAGGCTTTGGAAGAAATTTCATTCTTATTGGGAAAGAGCTTCTATAGCAGAAGCCCCTCTGTTGGTTAGACAGAAGTGGCAGAGGCGCAAGTTTGAATCTGAAGAAGCAAACATGGGGGAGGAAGATGAGGATGAGGAGGAAAATCGAGACGTAGATGACAACTCTGAGTCAGTTGAGATGAAAACTGTGGAGAGCCTAGCTGATGCACAAGACAATGAAGGCAGTCATTATTCTACAGAGAGCGATTGTGAAGTAGAGGAAGAACAAGGCATTGAAGAATTAGACAAACTCGAACACTTGCATCAGATTTTTGTTACAAAAAATCATGTTCTTTGCCAAGAAGTTCAGAGGAACTTTGTTGAACTTAGTAAATCTTCCAAAGTAACTAGTCATTTCAAGCCACCTGAGCCAAGTACTTACAAGCTACAAGAGCTTAAAGAGGAAAATTTTCCACTATTTGTTACTTCAAAGCAGTTGTTGTTGTTACTGGATGCATCCATGCCTAACCCATTTTTTCTTAGGAATGAGGATGGAAGTCTGAAAAGAACAATTGTTGGCTGGTCCACTCAGGAAGATTTAATCATACCAAATTGGCAAGAGGAAGATGAAGATAGTCATGTTGAAGGAGAATATGTCGAGGATGAAAAGGGTGTGGAAACTCAAACAAGAGAAAAAGATCCTCGAGTCTTTGTGACTTACGATGTGTTTGCTAATGAAATATGGCCAAAAATGGTTAAAGGCAAAAATTCCTATAATCCTGCCTTGGTGTGGAAAGAAATAAAATCTTTTTTGAAAGGGTCTTTTGAAGCACTAAGTTGCTCTCAAGGTAAACTTACTGAAGAAGAATATAAAAAGCTAGGGCGGAAGAGAGCCCCGAACTTCAAGGAAGACCGGAGTGAAATCTATCGTCTCTTTCGTCTTTACCAGCAAATAAGATCGCAGAGAGGTTACTTTGATGAAGAAGATGTCCTGTATAATTTATCTCAAAGACTTTCTAAGCTTGAAGAGCTACCGTGGTCCATCCATGAGCTTTATGGTGATGAAATTCAGGACTTCACTCAAGCCGAGCTAGCAGTGTTAATGAAATGCACAAACAACCCTAATGCAATGTTCCTGACTGGTGACACAGCACAGAGCATAATGAAAGGAGTTTCCTTCCGTTTTAGTGATCTGAGGTCGCTGTTTCACTATGCCAGCAAGAACTTGGTGGACATGAGACAGTGTGTAAGAAAACCAAAAAGGATATATCAGTTGTATCAGAACTACAGATCTCATTCAGGTAGAGTACCAAAATGTATTTTAAGGCCACTTCAAAAGTGGCTTAGTGATTTAGATGCTTGGGTGCCCAACCTGAGACATATATTTTAAAGGACCCTGATTTTTCGGAAGCCAGATACTCATATCTTCTGAAAACTAGACCTTTTCAGGTGCCTCAGATTGGGTATCCTCTATGAAAATCTTGTCATCATTGACTGTTTTGCTTTGACTTAGAATGGCTCCTTTTTTTTCTCTCTCTCTTTTTTTAAAAAGGGGGATTTATGCCTGAAACTTGTTCCTTCATCAACTTCCCCAAAATTCTGTATTCTAAGGAGCAGTGATCCTGCTTCTGTTTTTGCTTTTTGTTTTATTTGTTCTTGGCCTTCACTCTTGATGGAGAAAGCAGTTTTTTTCAGTCTTTGTAACCTACATTCTAATATCTGCTGGCCTAGTAGTTAGAGATGCCCCAAATGATGTCTAAAGTATCCTAAAATACATTATAAGGCTGCTTTCACCCCCTAATGGTAACTTTTTCCCAGGCATTTCTTGTTTCAGCAGCTTGAACAATTTTTAAAATGTTTTTGTGTGTGATCGATTTGTAATGCATGTTCTTATTCCTTGCAGGAATTCTGCGTCTGGCCTCTGGGGTGGTTGACTTGCTTCAGTACTATTTCCCAGAATCTTTTGATCGTCTTCCTAGGGACTCTGGCCTCTTTGATGGTCCTAAGCCTATTGTCTTAGAGTCTTGCAGCGTTAGCGACCTGGCAATCTTACTGAGAGGCAACAAAAGGAAAACTCAACCAATTGAATTTGGAGCCCATCAGGTTTGCTTTTTCTAGGTATATTAGACTGGGGGGTGTCTCCTGGAAATACCATGTTTCATAGATAGTTTTAGGTTTGTAGCTGAATGTATCACCTCTGACTGACTGCAGCTTTCTTCTGTTGCTTTTATGGCCCTGGATAAGTCTTACTATACAAACTAAAAATCTTCTTTATTTCTGCCTCCAAGCCTTTTAAAAAACATGGCATTTTTTACTCCTTTTTGCCATTTTAGTCTTATTTCTTGATTCTGACTTGCTCTTCTGTTCTAATCCTTTCTCTTATCATTTTGTGGCACACTACTGTTGTGTCGCTTTTAATAGTCAGAAGCCAGGTTAGCAAGCTGTTTTCTGGAATGGGATGAAATAGCCATGGAGCTAGCCTAGTTTAATCTTCATTTAAAATCTACTATGACCTGCTTCTTAAGTAACATTTGTGTTTCAGTATCTAACTTGTATGTTTTCCCCGTGCAGGAATATTTTGTCTATTTTTAATATTGAAAGTCTCATGTTCTTTTACCAGTGCATTTTATGTTATGGCAGGTGATATTGGTGGCAAATGAAATGGCGAAGGAGAAGATTCCAGAGGAACTCAGTTTAGCTCTTGTGCTAACAGTTTATGAAGCAAAGGGGTTGGAATTTGATGATGTCCTCCTTTACAACTTTTTCACTGATTCGGAGGTACTGTTTTGCTCAGTCTTTTTTTATACGGTTTCTATCTTTAATTTTTGGTCTAATATTGGACTGACTGACCATTCAGCTGAGGAAGGATATATTATTCCTTATGGAAACAATCGTTTCTACTGCCAAGTGAGACTCGAGACTTGCTGGCTTGTGCTGTCATCTGGTGTTTCCTTGCTGCTCCTGAGTGTAGTGCATGCTTTATTTTTCTCGCTTTTAATTTTTGCATACAATATGAGCTGTAATGAACCAGTATCATAGGCTAGAACCTGGTACATTGTAGATTTGCACTTTGAATAGTAGGTCTGCCAATATACATTGGTCTGGGAGAACTTTCCTCCTCTTTTTTTTTAACTGTTGTAAATCAGGAGTCATTCCATTGACTTAGGCCATTAATAACAAAGTTGACTCATACTCCTGATCTTTAGCATCCATAAGTCAAATTCTGTATTTCCTCTAAGAAAGGGAGCAACTATTTGTTGTTGTTGCTTTTTCATCCTGGCTCTCCCCTTGGGATGAGATTTAGGATGAGCTTGTTTTAATAAAGCAGAATTTGGAACTTGAGAGTAGCTTCCAAGTGGTGTGTATGTCTGTAGAAAGAGAAGTTACTTCATTTGTGTGCATACAAGTATATGGGCACTGATTAAGAAGGTGATCGAGCTAACTTCAATTATTTGTTTTTCAAAATTAGGCTTACAAAGAGTGGAAAATCATTTCTTCTTTTACTCCTCCTCCTGTACCAGAAGAAAGCAAGCCAGTGATTGAAACAACTTTAGAGCAAAATGCTGCTACTCAAAATGGGCCTCTTTCATTTAATGCAGAAATGTACAAGGTGAGATATTTTGATTCTTCAATAATGCATCCGTTAGAGATAGGAAATGCACAGGAAGATTTAAATGGTAAATCTGGAAGATTTAAATGATCCAGGCTGATCTGGACAGGCTCAGCAAATGGACGGACGAGAACCTGATGGTGTTTAACACTGAAAAATGCAAGGTTCTCCACCTTGGGAAGAAAAACCTGCAGCATCCTTATAGGCTCGCCAGTGCTACGCTGGCTAGCACTACGGAAGAAAGAGACTTGGGGGTCATCATTGACCACAAGATGAACATGAGCCTGCAGTGCGATGCTGCGGCTAGTAAAGTGACCAAAACGCTGGCTTGCATCCATAGATGC